GAGACACATTGAAAGACAAGTATGTACAGTGACATTCAAAAGTCCACAATGAAAATTCTGGGATTCAAAACAGGGTTATTATAGTTAACTAAAACCAAAAAATGTTTTTGTTACTTGAAATAGAATACATTGAAATAAAATTAAATCTAGGGGGGAAAAAAACATTTATATTTTATCTAGTTGCTAGTTTATGTACTAAAATAACTTAAAGTGGAAAAAAAACTAAAACTTTAAAATTAGAATGGAAACAGAAAACTCAAAAATAATTCAAAATATTAATAAAAAGTATAATAGTATCTCAATGAAATACTAAAATAACCCTGATTCAGAAAAAAAACTTGAAATAAACAGAGCATTTTAGGATTAAAAAAAAAAAAGTAAATAAAAAATTGATGACGTAAAATGAATTAGAAATATTTAAGATTCTACACTATTTTTAAGTTACTAATCAAATAAGCAAATTTGCGACATTAGCCGTGTGACTTTGTAACAAAAGGTCGAATTTCCTTCCATTGAAGCACATGATGTTCTTTGGATCATTCTCAAATCTGTAGAAGTTCATGTAGCTTGAGTGCTGCCTTTTTTACTGCAAAAGGGGGAAAAATCAAATACAAATATAAAACAAATGTAAATAAATATCATTTTTAATTAAATTTTTCACTCAAATTTTTATTCTGATGATATAATTTGCTAAGTACATAAATTAGGGAGGGAAAAAGCTTTCACAAGTGAACTTTTGAACTGCACTGTACAGTAGAGGAGGATGTGGAGGTTATTTACAATGTGTATGATCAAATATTTAGAATTTTGTGTATACATTCACGTACATCTAAGCACGTCATGCACACATGTGCCCTTCTGTCATTCTGCATGTGTGGGGCAGCACAGCTGTTTGAGAGCAGCACGAAAAGGTGGGAGGAATTTAAATGAGAGCAGAAGCCAGTTATTTTTGTATGCTCTGAGCCACCGGTTCTCTCATGTTGAGTGTGCGTGGGCAAAAACACAGATTCCCATTCATAAACTAGACTAGCTCTGCCATAAATCTGGCTGCAGGTTAGGGGAGATTTCTGCTGTAGCATTTGAAATAATGAGACTTCATTATTTATAATTCAAGGCTTGTGGGATGAATTCATTTCAGAAGTTAAAAAACAAGAGCCACATTATTTGGATGCTGAGCTCCCTATTTCTAGGATATTTTTTGAGGTTCTAAGAGAAGAACAATTCAAAACACTTTCAGTTCTATACAGTATTTGAGTCAACTGATTACAATGACAAAGGAAGAGGGAACTCGGCTGTTAATGAATGAATCATTTCTAACATTTCTATTTCACTACCAGTCAATTATCTGGGACTCCCAATGTGCAATCTCAGTAGGCTTTCAAGTTTTCCGTGCCAGTTCAAAGGGTGAGCTTGCATAACAACAACTAATATGAAATTCATTAGATGTCTGAGGTAAAATCACATGAATGAATCAACTTTACATAACAATCATGATACAACACAAAACAGATTCTCCTTTCAGACTCTGAAATTGACTAAATTACTGTAGCAATATCAAGATTTCCATTAATAAACAGGCAATCTTACCTGCTTTCCCTCAAGGGTGTAGATCCTCTTGACAATGCCAGAATCAAGCTTTATAGCATCTGTAATGTCAGTCAGAACTTGCTCAAAGGAGTGGGCCGTCTTCTTGTTGAGCAGGATGCGAACTGCCTTCCGCGGCTTCACCCCACTGCGGATGATGGTGACCAGCTTGGGTCTGATGAAGTCTTTGCCCTCTTTGGACTGCGGTTCTGATTTCGAGCTGGCTAGAGACGTGGGGCACTTGCTGGAGCCCAAGGCCCTCACATTCACAGACCAGTTAGGGTTGACGTTATTGGAGTAGTCGAGTTTTTTAAAGGCTTCGGTGGAGCCACACACATAACTCTCACCTAAAATAATTGAAAGAACATAGTCACATGATACATCGAGTGATATTTTACTAATTTTCTTTGAAAATTACGAGAGCATGAGTTTAATTTTTAGGCTAAAGACCTGAGGCACTGTCGATTGAGCTGTCATCTCTGTTCAAATGCATTGATTTATGGTAAAGCCATGCAGACTTAAATGCTCATCATTGAGTGCCCTAATTTTGTATCCTTGCCGTCACATCTACTGCTCTGACTTTGAGAATCCAAATGCATTCAAGGCACCAACATATGGAAACTTTTCAGCATTTTTAGTGTCTCTCATAAAACAATATGCTATTAAAATGAAATCGTAATTAGGCTAAAAAAAGCCGTTCACACAATGCATTGTTGCAATATTACACTGTATTACTGTTTTGCTGTAGTTTGGATCAAATAAATGCAGCTTTGGTGAGCAGAAGAGACTTCTTTGAAAAAAAAAAACTTTTGAACGGTAGGCCTACTTTACATTTTTGTATCGAATTCATACGAAATCGCCATCTCATAAAATAGTCCATGTTTTCTCATGCGATCGCTTTGAGACGCGTTTTTTAAACGTTGAACTGCTTTAAATTTTGCAGCATAAAAACACAACGTTCCTGCGCAAGACGCTGAAAAAGCTGTGAGATGCGGTGCAGTAAAATTATGTCCGTCTATCTAGCATGTGTGGACTACATAGAAAAATTATTTAAAAAGCAGTACAATTGAAACACAAAAACGTAAACTTGCGCTTATATCGCCTACACATTTTAGCCGCGATTTCTAGATTTTTACTGTAGCCCGAAGCCAGCCCGAGGAGGGCGGGGCAGCTCCAAATGGGCGTGGCTACCTACCTAGCCCCACCCCGAAAGGCGGCTTTACACAACTTCTTACCTTCCATCAGTTGATCTACACTGGTGATTTTTTTGGAACCATCGATTGTGTAGATGATTCGGACCCCTTGGGGCAGGTTGACGTTGTCAGAGAGGGTTCGGGTCAGGTCGGCCAGCAAAGCGTCAAAGGTTCTTATCCGGTCCGATGAGATGGCGTACACTATGCCGTTGAAGTACCTGTCACCATTGCGGTAAAAGCGCACTTTCTTCGCCTTCTTCTCCGAGCTCAGAGCTTTCAGGGTGCGCGTCCGGTACAGGCTGCAGTGGGCGCTGTGAGTGGGACTGAGAAGCCCGTTCGCCCGTCCTGCGCTTCGGCTGTTGCGTTGCAGTTTATCCCTCTCATCGAAGTGTTCCTCCATGTCGTCCAGTTAAATTAGGTCTAAAGCGTAAAAATTCAATTTGGAAAAGAGAAGTTACCAAACTAACCGAGTTCGTTTAATCCTTTGAGTGCTCTTTCGTCATGGGTGTCAATTAATGTCTGTTCTGAAAAGAACCTTTTAAAGCTTATATGTTACTTAGAGCAAATTAAAGCCTGCGACTGTCAGCCTGTTGTTGACAGTGTCACTTTGACATGGCAAACACTAACGTGTGACATTTGAAAATGTGCTCAAAAGTCTATTATGGTGTAACGTAGGCTATACATTAATACGATGACAAATGGTTATTTCGTGATTTCAGGATCAATGGCCAATAAGGATGTTAAAAATCTGGATGTTAAATGCCATGAGTTTTTGTAGCCTATTCATGTTGCTTTCATAGGCTAGCCTACATTATATAATGTGTTATAACTATTTTAGGTTAAAAACTCTCAAAGTGGTTTAACTGTAAAGTAACAAAAAAGTTTTCAAACATTTCTCAAGGTTTTACTTTTTATTTGAAACAAATTCATTGTTAGTAATACCAAGAGGGGGTTTTCGACTTGTAACACAAGCCCTTTCATAAAAGCTCAAAATATGTGAATATTTAAAAACATATACAGACACACACAAAAAACTGAGTGGCATTGACACAAATACTTACCTATTTTAAAAGAAATACTAATAAAAGATTATGCCCAATTAGCCTACTACGTTTTTCCCAACAATGAGAGTTTGACTATACGTCGCGCAAACATATAGGAAAATTACTTTGATCCTTAAAATGAAAACTTGTTTCAGTTGAATTTCTTAAGTGTATTTTCGAATAACTTTGATCCGGACAAAAATGAACGTCACGTCGCTGACCATTATGACATATTGATTAGCATAACTATCAAAATTAATTAGAATGAGCAAAACAATATTCAAAGACAGGTCCAAATATTTGCGAGCTTTCGGTTTGTTTTACTTTTACATACAGAAAAGAAAAAGACCTTTCTACTTGCCTAAAGGTGACGATTTAGTGAATATTCAAGATTTCTTCTCAATAGTCACGATTCAGATGTTGAGTTGTGCTGACAGGAGTCGTGATGTGAGCCCGGCACCTACTTTGTTGTCCCGCAGAGGAGGCTGGCTGTCGGTCGGCAGCTGCTGTTCTCTCTCTCTCTCTCTCTCTTCCGTGTCGTGCAGTGATTTACATTGGCCGCTTTCTCATTGAGATTCAGCCCCGCACCGCAGACCTGCCACAGCCAGCCACACACACACACACCGCCCCTCTCCGTGAGGCTGCTCCACAAAGTCTTTCTCGAAGCTCCCTCGCGACTCAGAGCTCAACTCAACCAAAGACAGACCATTCATCCAAATCACCTTTTCATTTGAATGCTAATTGTATTTTTATAAATAGGACAATTATACCTGAACAACTGAATATTAAAGGGATAGTTCACCAAGATCCACTGCTGTTAAGAAGGAAAAATAAATTAGCAAATGTTTGAAAAGACATGAGGGTGAGTAAATGATGACAGAATAAATCATTTGTGGGTGAACTATCCCTTTAAATGATTGCTCATTCTTAATCTAGTGAGATTAAAAAGGATTGGTCTTGTTACTCATGATTTTAAGTATAACAGTGAAATGAGTAAGTATACATGATGCATGAGACAATTGCATTCTGGTCACAATGTGGATTTACTTGTAATTAATGAATGCTCAACCCTGCATGTTTTTTTTCCAAGTTGCTTAAAAAATATTTCAAGAAAAAAATAAGACCTGGGATTGTTTTCTATGAACCAAAGTGGTGTCATTTGATGATGTTCAGTGCATTTTCACATTTCAGTTTTGTCTGGACCCAGTGCTGTCCTCCGGGCTTGAACCATCTGCTGCTTTCTGCTCATATCCAGCGTTGAGGACAGCTATAGTGACACGTCATCATTGTTAAAACACAACATTTTAGATAATATCTTTGGTCAAGTAGCTGAACTGCATGGTGCTATCAACACCACAGTGATGGGTTTGATTCTCTTGGAGCACACATAATGATAAAACCTACACTGTAACACTTTGGATAAAAGCATTTGTCAAGTGAATACATGTAACTGAAAGAACAAACTGGAAAATTTGTTTTAAATGACTTGCTCGCCTTTGCAATCTCTTCAAGATATGCCCGCCTCTCTTCATAGACTTTCTGGTAAATCTATTAGGAATAGAATGCATAATTAAGACAATTATGTCTTTTTTTCTGTCTTTTTCATGAATGACCAACTACAAAATGTAATCTTTCCTTATTCCTGCAATTAGGAATTCCATGCCATGTCAGCATAATCGTGAGATAATTGTTGTTATACCTCTAGGGGAATTCAGCAGCCAAGACCTAAACTCATTCACCCCCTCATGTTAATGTCATTTATGTTACAATTAATAACTGGAGATTTCGTACAACAAGATACATGATATCTTGACTAAAGAGAAGTTTTCTTAGAGAAGAGAAGATGTTGTAGGACTTCATCTTTCCTTCCTGCACAATTCTCATTTGGAAATCCATCATTTGGGATTGAAGGCCACTCTTCTCACTAGACAGCAATTTCAGCCTCTGTCTGAGAGCATCCTGAATAAAAACAATGTATCTGAACAAATGGAGGAATAGTTCACTCAAAACTGTAAATTTACTCAAAGTTTATTCACCCTCAGGCCATTCAAGATGTGAGTTTGTTGATGTGAATAAGATTTGGGAATATTTAGCATTACATCACTTGTTCACCAATGGATCCTCTGCAGTGAATGGATGCCGTTAGAATGAGTCCAAACAGCTGATAAAAACATCACAATAATCCACAATTAATTGTTTGATGTTAAAAATATCTTGATGAATTTGTTTCATACAAACAATCTGCTTTTCACTTCACAAGACATCAACGTGGACTGAATTCTTGTGGATTATATGGATTATTGTGATGTATTTATAAACTGTTTAGACTCTCATTCTGATGGCACCCATTCACTGCAGAGGATCCATACATCGTAAGCGATGTAATGCTGAATTTCTCCAAATCTGTTCAGATGAAGAAACTCATCTACATCTTGGATGGCCTGAGGTTGAGTACATTTTCATTTTGGAGTGAACTATTCTTTTAAGACAAGGTATAAAGAATGTTCTTATGTACTGTACATGATTATATGATTGGGATAAAATGAAGAATATTTGCTTGGGGTCATGAGTGACCCCAAACATTTTCATTCTTTAAATATTCTAATTATCATCCCATCCCTGTGGCATGACTCATCCAAGTCATTCTTGCTTCTCTTCCCTCATTTACAGATTACTTCTCACTGATTAACTTTTTTTTTCAGGCTGTCTCAGCAGATTGATTTTAATCTTGTCTTTGGCAGAAAACCATATTCAGCTTTGCCAGGCTGTAATGAGAAACAGTTGCACCATGCAACAATAGCCGCTGAAAATTAAATGTGTATGCATGAATAGCATAAATTAAAGCGTCACTTCTATGTTGCACAGACAGAGGGCGTGAGGTATATTTTGTATATTTCTTAAAACCCTGTTTTTGAATGCCACATACTGTGCACATCTGTGACATTTAGAATTTTAGAATGAATAATTATTTAAAATAATATTTTTTTTATTTATGTTTATATTTAGGGTATGTAAATATATTTTATATAATTTGTTGATCTAATTATATCATTTATATAATTACGTTTTAAATTCAAATTTATAATTCAAATTTTATTAAGAAGATTTGGAAGTTGGTTGCATGTTTTTTTTTTTTATTTAGCTGAAATGCTTACTTCTGATATTTCATCATATGAGCGAATAGACGCCAGTCGATCTGAAGAGTAAGACAAAAGTTACAGTGTAGTGTGTACACAATACATCAAAATAACAGCATGGCTCATTCCTTCACAGCTCCAAAGTATAAAAATGGCTTGCCTGTGCCTGCTTCATATTTCATTCTGTATCAGCATAAGACCCTTGATCATTCATTTGATCAGGACTGATGTGAAGAAGAACCATCAAATGACAGATATGATGAAGTGGTTGATGAAGAGACAGACAGAAGCAGCAGAGAAACCCATGAATGAAGTATGTGAAACTTTGAATATGTACTGTGACTATAATGTTGGGCGGATGATACTTTTTTCACCACATAAAGCATTTCAACTGAATTGTCCTGTTATTTTTCTAGCAGGTGCCCCCACGTGTTTCTTTGTATCATTACAGACTGATTGCAACAACACACTATAAAGGAGGCCTAAAACACCATAAATTACAAAATATAAAGGCTGTGGTTATATTATGATAAGAAACGATACTATACTATAGCAACAACAAAAAAGAAAGTTTGGGGGAAAAAAGGATGTTTCTTGCATTTGATCATTTACAGACCTTCTCCATCTACACTGTGAAGTGTCTTCTCCAAATCCGCCAGTGTGCTCCTCAGGTCAGACATGGAGTCATGTAACATCTCCCTTTAAACTATTCACAAATTTGCTAAATATGTCTAACCAACGTGCAACTGCCATGGCTGCTATTCATGACAGGAGTCAAGCCATCGCTTACTTGACCTCTCTCTCTTGCTCGACTTCTGCTTGCAGTTGTGATAACTCAATTTCTGAGATCAATTTCTCCCATCTTCAGTCTGAGTAATGAACAGGTTTCACTTTCATCGGTGTCTTATGATTGTTGCGCTGTATCCAGGGCCGCCCTTAGGGGGGTACAACTGGTGCGTTGCACCCCCCTCCCCCCTTGCTCCCTACCTCGCACTGGGCCCTGCGTCAGCTGAGGACGGCCCTGGCTGTATCGATGGCAACGAACAACCACAACATTGATGACGTGATTGCGTCAGGTCCTATTGTGCTGCTACCTTTTCATACACCCTTAAGACCTGATCACACAAAGGACGATAACTATAAAGATAACGATAAAGATATAGTTATAAAATCCTTCTCAATATTAAAGAATAGCACAATCCACACCACAGCTATAACGATAAAGGCACAGAGAAAGGATATCTTGAACGGGCCTTTACCTTGGTTTACAATAATTTTACAAATGTATATAAAATCATGTTTAGGAGAAGGTATGCAAGAAGAATGTAATTTTTATTACAACCATGGCAGATGTATACACTAAAAAAGAAGTTACAAATAGTACCATGGTGTTACTATGGTTTTTCAGTTTATGGCTACTGAAGATTTACATAAGCCTTAGAATAAAAAAAAAACAGTAAGAGAGTACAGTGGTATTATTAATTCTTAGTTTTCATCTAAGTTCATGTGTAGTGCATCTGAAGAGGGCAGAATGCAAAATCTAACAGTCAATGATACTTCCGAAATAAACATTCGAACAAGGTAAAATCAAATCAAATAACCTGTTGTTGTTTCCTTCTATAAAATAACCCTCTGAATGTCTTTAAGAAAATAAAAAACATCTTTAAGAGTAACAGGGGTAGAACATTTCACTAAAACTGTACTTGTCTTAAGTGCATCTTTCTGTAAATATTGCTAGGCCTTTTGTACTACAGGATTGTACATGATAAAAAGGTAGTTCAAGACAGCTAATATTTCATTGTATTTTCTCATCCTGCCCTTTATTAGGGGGCTTTTCTTTCTTCTCAGTTCCTTCTCTTCCTGAACCGTCATTCACCATTGCTTTTGCAGTGTGCTTGCCTTTGGTCTTCAATATACCCTTGATGCCCAGGTTGTCCACATTAAATGCTGTGATACCTACATTGACAGCAGAATGGACTGCAGTGTCTGCAGCTTGTCCTGCCTCGTCTCCATACCTGATCACAAACATGGAGATATTCTGAGCTAAATGACCTGACAGAAGTTCATGTTATGTTGCTGACTATTGATTCTAAAGGATTTTTGAGATAATGTGAAACATCTGAAAATGAACAGAACACAGTAAGCAGATAAAATGTTGCATTCACCTCAGTTTTAATTCACAAAACACTCTGATGGGACTGTTAATAAAAATAAGCACCTTCTCAGCAACCACTGAGTGGTCAGTAAACAAGGCACTGTGGGTAGGTTCGAATTTGGCAGAGACATTAGTCAGAGAAAATGCAGTGTGTTTTTACCCGCCACCATTTATATGCTGCTAGGGGGGGTCCAAGAGGCTTCCTAGACCCCTAAATCTGAAAAAGCAACAGGAAAGAGAAAATTAATCCATTTCCCAAAGCATTGAAGTTTGGATAGGTATATAGTAGGGGTGTAACACAAGTCACGGTTCGGTACATACCTCGGTTTTGGGGTCACGGTTCGATACGAGTTCGATGCAACAGGAAAAGTATTTTTTAAATATATTTTGAACAGACAGTAATGCTACATGCAGCATGAGCAGTTGTTTTTTATTTCTATATAATTTCAAGATTTAAAGCAAAAACAGAACTTTTGATTTGTGAAATTATGCTACATAAGACATGAGACAGTCAGTTCCTCTAAAAGATACATTCATATAAACCCCCACGTATTTGTCTTCCTGTATTTCAAGTATTGCGAACGGTGAGCTTGATCTGCCTGGTACAGTACTTTCTCCTCTTTACAGACCTCATAAAAATTCCACACAAATTACATTTTGGGAAATGATGGCAATGCAGTTTGTGTGCAATTCTGGAATAGAGATCAGCCGGTCGACCAGTGCATCTCTAGAACCCCAAACTTTCCCACACTGCTGATTTAAAACAAGTAGGCGGTTCTTCGAAATCTTGCGTGGCGTCTGAAGTGCGATTGAGGTCTCTGCAGAGCAAAAGTGGGCGTTTCTGAATTTGTGGGTGTTTTCAAACTGCAGGGTGTTTCTCAATCATGCAATCAAAATGATCCCCCTTAACTAACCCCACCCCTAAACCTACCGTCACTATGACGTCAGCCAATCAGGAAACATGGTCTAAAAATGCCCTGATCTGGTAACTCCCATTACTTTTCTGCAGAGATTTATACTTGTCTGAACTCGCCATTCTTATTTTGGATTGGTGCGTAGGTCGTCTCGTCTTCTGCTCTTTCCTGTGGTGACGGTTATTGTTGCATTACTGCAAGCGCCCCCTTCTGGATTGATCGCCTATGACTGACTGTATTCGTCGTCTGATTGTATGAACCAAACCGTGACAAATACATGTACTGATTACACCCCTAGTATATAGCCAAAAAAACTAGCAATATCAGACTCTTGGGTGGAAAAAGAATAAAAGGAAAGCAGAAGAGAAACTGTGAATCAGTGAATCCTGAAAAACAATAAATAAAAAACACCTACTTGTGCCTCACAGTAGTCACCGTCTCTGAAGTTATACTTTTGCCAATGGACTTTGCTGCTGTTTCCAAACTTGACCAGAGATTTGACAAACCTATAGAACACATTTTGCATCTAAACATGAACTAAAATACCTTAAAGTTATAAAGGAGTATGAATATCTTAAAGTTTGATATACTTCACTTAATTTAGCAGGACAAAAGTAAAATGGCATAAGCCTTTCAGAGCCTTCGAATGATTTATTTGTTTACCTTGTAAGCTGCTTCCTGCCACTAGCTTGGCTCCATCCATGTTGGAGCAGTTGTCTTTACTTTTCTTGAGGGATTCTGGGATGAGTTTGCTACCGTGCTTTTTTACGTGTGGAGCAAGGTCTTTCCCAACTCTATCAGCTACAGCAGCAACACCATCCACTGGTGAATAAAACAAAATGTATTATACATGTTGCAAAACAGGATATAGAAAAGCTATAAATATTTCAGTATATGATAAATCTAATTACACCATTGTTTTACCTAGAAACTGGCTGACTTTCACAGCACCCCCAGTGGCCTGCTTAGCTGCATTTAGGCCTTTGGTGACCTTGGGGCTGACCTCTGCTGGGGTCTCCTCTGGAGTGATGTTTTCTCGTAGCTTAGATGCTCCTCTTTGGATGGCTTTACCGGTAGCTTCAGCTCCTCGCACAAGCCCCCGACTCAGCCAGGAAGTCCCTGAATAACCACAGTGGAAATATCACAATACCTTTAGCACTTGTTTTCGCTTAGAGTGTATTAGAGTGGCCTCTAGTGGCTAATTATAAAATGCACCAATAAGGTGTTCAGTGCACTCTTAAATAAAGGTTCCAAAGAGGGTTTTTCACAATTATGCCATAGAAGAACCATTTTGGTTCACCACAGAATTTTTTCCCTAGAAGAATATGTTAATTATTTAAGAACTTTTTGTTCAGTGGAAAGATTCCATGGATCTTCATGGAACCGTAGACGCCAATCTTTATTTTGAAGAGTGCATGCCTTCTTAACTTCTACTTCAATAGAAGAAACAAAAACACTAGCTATCCAATGAGATACCAATCAAAATTTCAGGTTACTTTAATCTTAAAGTTCAGACCTGCTAGAATGTTCTGTGACATTTTTTCGCTCCACACAGGAACAGTTTTTTCCTCCCCTCCTGGTGTTTGGTTTAGAGATGTTTCTGATGGAGGAACTTTCCCACTCAGGTTAATATCTGTTCCTGCAGCGCCACCTTGTTCTTCATCTACCTTAAAAAATCCCTTAGTTATGAGTAATACGTAGCAAATTTATGAGTTACACAAAACCAACTGCATCAATTCAGTTCAATAAAACTCAATTTTATAATTTTTTCAATTAATCATACATTGACAAAATCAAATCTGAGATTGAGTACCTGGACCCTGAGTTGTGCCAGAGCTGCCAGCTGTTCCTGGAACAGATCCCTGTCTGCTGCAGGCAGCTCTGAGGACAGCACCACCCCAACATAGGACCCTGGCACTGCTGCGGTGGTATTGGGAAATGTGAACACACCTTTGTTGCTAAGAAAGACTGGTGAGTCTGGGTATAGTGGGTAGATCCAATCACAAACCTGCAAGCACAACATTTTTATCAAAATGTAAAGACTTTTTTTACTGTACATGATTTTTACTGGCCTTTAAACCGTAATTAATTAATTTGGCGTAAAAACAATTCACTCAAATTGCTAATAAATAAACAGTTACAAAGAAACAGCAAGTAACACACTGAATTGAAACATGAAATTTTGAATTTAAAAAAAGTGTTTTTTTAATAATAAATAATATATTTACAAAATTTGCTCATGTGATTAATTACAGTTTTATTGTATTGACAGCCATAGATTATAACAAGAAAGTTTGTTTAGGATTTAAAACTTTATTAGAGATGTATTAAACTTTATTAGAACGCCATTAAACTTTATTAATATAAATAATTAAAAGCACGGTTAAGCGAAATAAAATATGCTGCAAATTTAATTTATATTTTCAAATAATTGTATTAAACTTTTAGGCTATAATTCAATAAGAAAAGTGTTAGCTAAATAAAAGTCTAAAAAACAAATAATGAATTTAAGAAAAACATTTATAATATCATGCATATTTTAGTGGGCCAATTTATTTACAATTATTGCAATTTATATGCGGGAGATCATTATATTTTGGGGTTCTGATCATCAAAAAGTTTGATGACCCCTGCAATAAAGATTAATGTTGTGTATTTGGATGTCATTGTGCATATGAGGGACAACTGGGGTCAAATAAGACTGCAATTATATTGCATATGTTTGTGCACTGTGTGATTATTCAGAAAGCCACCCTTTGTTCTGGATTGCTAAAGTGGGACAAAAGACCACTGTGGAACGCACACAGCAGTTATGTTAACACGTGGACTCCACGTGTCCTAAATCAACCCCCAGAGCCAATACTGCACAGAGCCGACGCTCAGCCGTTCAATGAGATTTCTATTTGCTGAAACAGCATGCCGACAGACTCTGTACAAAGAACCCTGGCGTCACCCGTAACAGACCGTTTCTAGCACTGCACCGCCTAAACAGACCTAAAGCCTTTGACATAGCCACAACACAGTCAGGTTGGACAGGCTTTTGTGGGTTTGACAGAATAGGTGGAACTGTGAAACCACCTGTTTGACGTCTGAAAGTGAAACAGTTCTAATCCATGTCAGATTTGAGTGATACAAACAACCAACTGACAGAAAAACTTCCTGAGTTTAAAAGTCATCACAAATACTACCTATCAAATGAGCCATACTAAATAAATCCCAAGCCTTCTCTTAATAAAAAAACACAAGGTTTCTACTTCTCTCTTTGCTATATAATGCACAAGAAAGTGCCTGTAATTGTACAACATGAAAAGCATGACAGTAATCTCAGTTATTTTGCTGTCAGCTATGAACTGATGTAAACAACCAAACCCTACATAGATGTAATTATTTTTCAAAACAAAAGAAAAACACCCAGTTTCATGATGTGATCATCACAAGACTTCTCTGGTGTGCAGGGTAAATCGATACAATTCTTGTCAAGGTGATGAATAGTTTGTTTATAGCTCAAATAAGGGTGTATATAATGCAATGCTATATGACCAAAGTTTCAAACAAAGACTTTCATAATATTATGAATTTAATTCATGCGCACACACCAAAAAAAACAACAACAACTTGATTCTTAATATTTGTGTCTTTGGCAGTAAAAATATAAAGTTAATTTTAGCATAAATTAATGCAAATCATTTCATGATAAAAAAGTGAATATCTTTCACAATTTAGTATTTATGTACATATATATATATATATACACACACACACACACATGCATACACTATATAGTGCTTAATTTGAATAAGGTTTTATTTCGTTTTCATTTTAGGTCTAGTAATTTCAGTGTTTTGTTTTTTTTATTCCAATATTTATTTTTATTTCAGTGTTAGTTTTAGTAATTTTAGTACTTCAGCTTTAACAATTTCCTTTTCACCCAAGACAGCATCTCTAATTTTCATTTAAATTCTTTAAGTTTTTCGTGTAATAGCCTATTTATATTTCATTTCAACTTATTTCAATTACCAAAAATTATTTAGGATACAACAACACATTAATAAATATAAAAATATTATCCAAACACAATATTTACCTGTAGGTAGGCTGGGGCATAGCCGGTACCACTGTTCTGGCTGTTGTATATGATTATTCGTAGGAACCCTGGATAAGAAGGGGCGCTGACTTGACCCTCAGCAGAAACGAAGAACATCTGCACCCCACTAGGCAAGAACAAAATCTCCATGCCAGCCTCTCTGAGATTGACTGGGGCAAACGCCTGGCGCTGAGGTGTCCGGTTTGGAGCAGCTTGAAATGGCCCGTTGCCTCCATGAGAGAGTGACAGATGCCCTTCAGTTGGTTGTGGAGTGTAGGCTGGTGGAAGTTCAGCGGGTACAGTGAAGCCCGCCGTAGGGGAGGCAGGATGAGCAGAGGCCCCCCCTAAAGCTGAGAGAGGTGTTCTGGTGATAACTACTGGCTGGGGGTCCTGGAGGACAGGAACGGTCGGATAAAGGCGCTGACCCGAGTTCGCTGTGGACTCCAGCACCCCTAGACGATCAGTGATGGTGCTCAGAGTCTCGTTCATCCTCAGCTGCGTCTGTCGCGCGAAGTCCCAGTAGCGTCCGACGCAGCGCTCACCGTGCGTGTTCACCTCCAGCCCTCTGAGAAGATGCCGCCTGCCCAGTTTGTACTGAAGAAGCGCTTGGTCCTTATTCCCCACCTCATCATACTGAAGCCCTGAGTTCAGACACTGCAGCGCTTTCTCATAGTTCTCACGAATGGTGCGGATTTCAGCCGGTTCTGATGACTCCATTGCCGTGCCAGGAAACGCAAAATATATAACCCTTCTAAAACGAAAAAAGTTAAATTTGAAATGTACAAAAAGGGTGGCAGCTTTGGCGGCGTGCGCTTAAAATAGTAATGAAGAGATTTTTCCCATGAAGTCACTTAACGAAATTATGTAGCATAGCCTATAGTCACCAAAGCAGGTTCAACCAGATTACGAAAAAAATTAAATAATAATTCTTAAGCGCTTCTGGTCACTGACGCTCTGCTGATGTTAAAAGTTGCACTTAAAAGTCAACCCGAATAGGGCTCTGTTAGTCTCCGTTCATACCCAAAACGATTTTAGCGCCTAAATCGGAGTTAAAGACAAACTTGAATATAGAGAGAGTGGTGTTAAGCTGCACTGCAATGACCCTTACTAAGAGTGCGCGATGGACCACCTGCGCGGTTTCGATCGCTTATGTTTGCTGCCACTTAACATGGCTTATGCGTTACGAAATATGTTCCCATACATATAAACTGGATTGACAACAAACAAGTTCTCTTTCGTAAAATAAGACGCGAGTCCGAGCGAACGGCAGAGGTCGTCGTACACCATAAAACCAAATTATAGGCAGAAACAGATTTTTACAACGGAAGCAATGCAACTCGTTTCGTTTATTGAAATTCAGTTGTGTACATGATTTTACACATAGCATATAAGTAAAATACATGGTATACCAGAAAAAGAGACCCTAAAAAGGAAAGAAAGTGGTACAAAACCATTCGCTCATTTCATATCCCTGTTGAAAAAAAAACAGCATATGCTGGTTAGGTATGTAAAAGGACCAGCATAACCCAGCAAAGGACCAGCATAAGCCAGCATCCCAGCGTCAAAACATACCTAACCAGAATATGCTGGTTTTTTCAACAGGGATACCAATATGGGAGAACACAGCCTCCAGACCAACAGCATGTTGGATTTACAAAGAAACAAGTCACAATATTGCTGACTACTTAATAGTCTTAAGCAACCTGATAAATCACATTAAGAAGTTTAAAAGCCACATTTAAAAAGCAATCATTCAATATTTTCAATAGACTTAAGCGCTGCAGTTCATTTGTTGGCCAAGTCACCAAAACTTCAAGGGGGAGGCAGTGACTCCACAGGTTCAAGCAGGGACACTCCACAATATCTGAAAGACCAGATCAGGCATTAGGGAGGGAGAGAGTAGAATCCAAAACACCCACATTACAAATGCCTGCTAACTTTGAACTCTTGTATTTCTCCTGGATTGCCTGTTGGGGGCGACCTGCAGCCCCTAGATGGAGCTTATGATGTTCCTTCAAACACGGGCTGATCACTGCCAGAGAGTAACCAGTGAAGGCATACAGGTTTTCAGGCTGCCAAAAACTCACACCCAACAGCTCAATTTGTCTCACAAGTATTTGGGGGTTTATACCAAAACTACAAACCTGGCTATAGTTCTGGAAGCATTAAATGACTTGATTGGCTCATCCAAATAAGACAGTTACAGTAAAAAGGTTGGACTCACCCAAAAAAAACATTTAGAGTGCAATTGGCCAGACAAAATGCAGCTGCAGCAGTCTTGGAAGGTAGATACTGCACAAAGGGATCCACCTCAAGCATGCTCAACTCTGAAAGATACTATTGGGGCAGAGAGAGAAAAGAATCAATATCCAATTCAGAGGAGAAGTTTCACAAGATGAAACATTCATCAAAGCAAGGTTTACAGTCCTGACACAGATATGCTCCTCTAAAGTGTACTGCATCAAAAACTGGTGAACTGTGGGTGCAGTCAGGTCAAAAGCCAGCACTCGGAGCCGGTGCTGCTCCATCCATAGCAGCTGTTTCTTTGTGGAGGTGTCATCTGTGATGTACACAAACATCTGGAGGACACACCTCCTCGTATTACCAAATCAGCAACGCACCAGGTCGTTACATCAGTAGGTAACAAACTTGATAATAGCTCATCACCACTTACACAGCCAGGAGTACGGCAGCTGTTCCCACAAGCTGCAATTTTACTCTCAGGACAGACATGCACGAAAGGAAGTGGTCCAAGTAATTGACAGCCAAGTAGAGCATCTCAGAGCACAACTTGTATTCCTCGCTGACCTCAACCAGCCAGTCAACAAGGATGATCCTCATACCGTTTGTTATGTCAGGCTGCTTTCTCATATAACCAGGCTTCGGCCTGTATTTAACCTGAGAGATGCAGTGCATTACAGATACAGGGCTACTCGAGAGACCGTCTAAAAACGAAATATACCAACTTCACATTCACGCAAGTATCGGTGGATGTCCTCAGCATATTCTATACACAGGATATCCTCAGGGGAAGCATCGTCCTCCGGCAATGACAGCATGGAAGAATCCATGCAAGACCCTAAATATTTTAGGAAGTATAAAGTCTCAAGGCTCAGTCACAAGGAATCTGAACAGCAATTGATTAAGTGTCTTTTAGTTTGATGTTATTAACGTGAATAAACAACCATACAGCCTTAAAATGCTATGATAGATGGGTGCATAAAAAAAACACTATTGCAGTTGAATAGAAAGTGAAGAAAAGTAGAGACACTTACAAAAACTATACTATTGTAGTTGCATAAGTAGTGGAGTAGTTGATGAGGGTGATTTAGTTGACTGCACAATACTGACTGGTTCAGCCACGTGATCAAGTGTAGCACTCGATGTGCTGACGTCACGGGTAGATGAATCTCGAAAAGCTTGCTCATAGTTGGATGAAACCAGTGGTGTAGTCTAGTTTTTTGTAGTGGGTATACTCTGATTGATCCCCCCTCCCCCCAGTATGTAACATACTGTTATACTATTTAAACTTATTCTTTGAGACCAATCATTTTCAACTGTGCTGTATCCTCCTAGGGCTTTAATGCTACAGTCTCCAAACTCGTCAGAGACCTTGGACCTGATCTGTAGTTTGTTTCTATATCTTTTCTAACTGATGGGACTTACTGTTTTCATATAAATAATTATCGAAAATCAAATATTTCACATAGGCTTGCATTGGCTGAGCAAAAATGCCCTCTCTAGAGGACAACTTCAGTCCACTAGAGAGCCACAGGATAAGAAATCTTTCAACTCCCCTCATTTACTTTCGTTTTCAGTTAGTTAAATTTACAAATAATTGCACACTTTTCCTTTATGCTGCCAAGCAAAGCTAACATATTTGATCATGACCAGGTCAGGTGACTATCTGATGTCCAGAGGCCAGTGTAAAAGACGTTCGGGACAGTTGACTGATCTGGGGCCACTGGTGCTTCCTCATGAAACATAATCATTTGCACGTTTTTTAAGCCTTGCCAATTAAAACATTCAAGCGATTCCTGTCATCTGCTGCAGCTGAAGCATCAGCAGCTTCAGGGGCAGGCTTACGAAAACGCTTAAAGAGCGTAGTTTGAGTTTGCTTTCATTTCATATCTCCTTTAGTGATTCACATTCAATTCTGCACAAAAGTTGCGCAATAGCACTGTCATCAACAGAAACACGGCGTGATTTTCAAAAAGTCAACACAGATGGGGTGAATTTATGAATGAACGTGTGAAAGTTCTGTGACAAAACAATGTTGCTTTACATATCCTCGCGCTTTAAGTGGGTATACGGAAATCCTTGACCTTTCTTAGTGGGTATACGGCGTATACCTGCGTATCAAGTAGACGACATCACTGGATGAAACATAATTAAGTGACAAAAACGTCACTTTCTTACACTTTTGACTTGGAGTAGCATTGTAAGTACTTGGCACTAACCTGACCAAACACTCGGTTATGCTGATCATTTTCAGTCAAAACACCAAGCACAACCCTTTGGTCGGGCTTGTGAGCACGTAGGCCATCCGCTCTTCCCAGACCCATTAGGGTTTTCCTGACGACTGGAAAGAGGAGCGAAGCCACAGGAAGCTATTTTATCTGCAAAAAATTTGTCAATTTAAGGTCAATTCAAATTATGAACAACTACTCGAATACGACTTCAAAGACATAAAAAAAAACAGTTCAAAACAATTCTGTTCTTGCATTAAACTCAGTACTTTGACACTGATTAGCTCGCAGCAATAGGTGATTGTCTTCAGAAACAAGAAATGGCAGGAAATGGAAGAAGGAAATAAAATTGAAGATATTCTTAGAGAACAAGGAATGGAAAGAAATAGACTCAAAGCTTGTTTATATTTCTTGAAAATACTGGATTAATAAGAAGAATTTAGAAACGAAAAGATAACCCTTTATGTTTTTTTTCTCTTTTTTCTGTGTCCCTTTACACACTCCTGTACAGTAGGTGGCAATATGCAATACTTACAAGTTGCAAAAGCCAAGAAAAAAGAAGAAGAAGAAGTCTTCAGAAACATTTTTTGTTATGCTGGTTGAAAGTCTCTTCACATCACGATAGCAATCATTAAGTTAAGCGGTTCCCAATTCCAGTCCTCGCTTTCCCCCGCTCTGCGTATTTGATATGATATGATCCCTACACAGTGTTCATTGCTCCCTATACTCCCTGAGCAGGGGAAATCCGTTGAAGTTTACTTCACTTCAGAACATTCATTTACGGATTTGCGCTACGCAGCGTCTAAACAGACATCACACTCACACACACACACACACACACACACACGTCTTCACATCCAGTGCAAGGACTGGAATTGGGAACCGCTGATGTAGCCTATAGTAGTAATGTTGTTTCTGGTATTCTGGTCTGTGAGCGTATATGTGTTCAGGGGGCGTGGCTTTGGACGGCGATTGTAGGGAGGGTGGGACGTTCGCTTTCAGTGCTATCAGGCTAAAGTTAGCATTTTCCAAGATCTCCTACAGCACCTTTAAGGTATCGTCACGTGGCAACAACCATGGAAACAGAGTACTACGTTTCTATGCTGTTCAGAGGCAGTATTAATTATTTGACAAATAACATGTCATTAACATTCATTTTTTTAATGTCAACAACATTCATTTTTTTGATGCAAACACTTTTAGAATTTATAAACTGTTTTTTATAAACTATTGGCATTTTGAACTTTTAGATTAAGACATTTAAAACACTTAAACACATTTTCACTATTTAGGGCTTACTTTGTTTTCTTCACACCGTCTATGCTTCACACATCAAGTATCATATTTCTAAATATCTAAATTTATTTGTTGTTTTTTTAAACACACAAAGTCATTTTTATTTCACTCTGTTTAGATCATAGTCTTAAACATGTAAGAATTCATATTTTTAATGATGGATTTTCATAGTTTGGCTCTGGGACAAAAGTTCAACAGAAAACTATAGCCTACATAAAAAGGTACTTCAAAAGTAGTAAAATAAATGATGAAAGCATGGAGCTTTAACAGGAAAGTTATAATGTGTCCTACATATTACAAATAGCAGAAATCTGTTTCA